TCGCCTACCTGCTTAAATTTCAAGATTGCAAGTTTCTTTAATCTGATTTTCACTGATCCAAAAGCAATGGGAATGAAATATTTATAGAAATAAAAAATATACAAAAAAGAATCTTTAACTCTTATCTCTTTTATGGGCAATAATTAAAAATGGCAAGAAAATGAGTATTAACCAAAACATTCAGTATGTATTGCAATATATTCCTTTAATACACAAAAAGCTAAGGTATTCCAGGAAAAAGGAAAATATGTAGTATTTTTTTCATTGATGACATTGTATGGTTTATCGCTTAATACAAGTTATCTCTCTTGTGCTATGCAGCAATGTTTAAAGCAGGAATGAATTACATTTTAGAGAGACAACTATGTTTAAATGAAGCTAACAAACTTGCCCAAAACTAAGACTTACCAAAGACCCAAATTCAGACAAACCATATGCTTATCTTACAGCTTTAACTACTGCTGTATCAGGACTATCCTTTCCTGTTTATTCAGCGGTAAGAAGTTGGAGGAAGCAAAACTCCCTTTACAAAGCAACTCCTATACTGAATCAAAAGTATGGAGCATAAAAGAACAATTTTAGTAAGATTTCAACTATATAGCAATCATTTTTGATAGCAAGAGCGTGTTGAGGTGCAAGTAGGTTAAGCTACCACCTGGGACAGATGCATCTCCAGGCTTATGAACTGGTTTCTGGTTAATGTACCTGAGAAGAGCACCCTAAGTAATTGGGTTCATGCCGGATAAGCCAAGTCATGAGGGCTAGGCCTGGCTTTGATCTGGCCCAACTATGGCTGTTGAGGCATTTGGGAGAGCAGCCAGAGATAGAAGATCCATTTCTTTCTCTCTTTCTCTCTCTCTTCCTCTCTCTCTCTCTCTCCCTGTGTTATTCTTTCAAACAAATGTTTACATTCCCATAAGCAAAATTTTAACATTAGCAGGTATGTACAGAAAAGAATTTAAAAAAGAAAGTCCCGTTTTTTCATAATCATTGACAATCTCTCTCATCAATGACATAGAAACAAAAAAACTGCAAAATACAAAAAGAGAGCAAAACAAATTGTGATTTATGACCTATACAAGAATAATTTTGTAATAAAAGATAACGGTGGTAAGCTCCAATCTCCAATGCATTAAAATTATGTATATCATATCTTTATATTACTTGTATTTTAACATCACAACTTTAAAAATTATATTTTTATTTGAAAGGTAGTGTTAGAGAGATAAAGAGGGGAAGAAAGAAAGGAGGAGAGAGAAAGAAAGAGAGGAGTGATCTTCCATTTGCTGTTTCAACTCTTCACAGCTCCAACGGCTGAGTGTGGACGGGGATGAAGCCAGGAGGCTGGTACTCCATCTGTGTCTCTCAATGGGCGCTGGGGCCCAAGCACTTGCGTCTTCTTCCACTGCCTTCCCAGGTGCATTGGCGGGAAGCTGGGACTCCACCTGGCACTCATATAGGATGCCACTGTCACAGGGTATGGCTTAACTTGCTGGGCCACAATGCCAAGGCCCTTAATAACACTTTTAAAACAAATAATTTAAAACATACCTAAAAACCTTGAAGCATCTTGGGATTTTACAGAAACAAGCTGAAAGTCTTTGCTTAAAGCTTTGCTGTCATATACACTCCTGGAGCTCTGCTTAGGCCATATGCAAGCACAATTAAGTAAATATTACCTCTGACAATCAAAAGCATGCAATATAAGAAACATGATGAACAAAGGTAAAAAGTAGCTACTAGCCCACAAAGCAAATATATTCTACTGGTTGTAGTATGCAAAATTACTACCATCTGATAGCTCTGACTGTAAAAATGAGACTCATGTAGTTCAATGTGATGTTTTCCATTTTAATTTGGCATTTTTTTTTACTTACAAAACTATCAAAATGTTCTTAAAATGTGTGACTATGTAAGCAAAGTAACAAAAGTGCAAGCACACAAAGAGATATCACTAGAACTACCTACACATAGTAATGATTGCTAGATGCTAATGCCACTAACAGAGCATAGAGTTCTATTCACTTAAGTAATACCAATTGTTCAATGCATTTTTATTTATAGAACATGAAAGGCCTATAATTAGCTACTTTCCTTAAGTCTGCCATGCCACTTTTGAAATTCATAGATCCCATTCACCTAGTTGTCACTGGAATTTTTCGAAATTCATGAAATTTACAAAGCAAATATAAACATTTTGCCTTTCAGTAAAATCTTTACAGAACTACCTAATTTACCACAAAGCAGATAATTAGAATAAGGAGCTATAGATTTGAAGACAGTCTAGTGTATTAATGTGTTTCTGCACAGAGTTCGCCTTCATTCTTTGCACAGGTCTACAGTACAATCTGTATTTTAAGCAGTCTATTTTGGAAGACACCGAATTAAAATTGCAAGTCACTCAGAATAAATGTGATTCTCATACAATATATAATTTCATATTCAGATACTGGGCTAAGCCACATTATTCTATGTGAGGGTGAACTAGGTTCCTTCCCAGGTCTCTGCAATATCCAACACACTGCAATAAGTGCAGGTACTCACAGAAAGGCAAGCTTTCTGCACAGGCAGAGGTGTCCCTTCCTGGGCAGGAACAAAGCTCATCAGGGCACCGGGAATTCACATTGGATGCACATCACTTGAGCTACACTGAACTGAAGTTCAAAATGCTATGCGTGACTCACTTGATTATTAATGAGCTTCTCATTAAACAGAAAATGTAAATTGAGGCAGGTGACTTTCACTTGGAGTTCTAGCAAAAAGGAAAACATGGGTTTATGAAAAATAAACTCCTGCGTGCTACTGTTAGAATGATGAGGAAGTTAAAATCATATTAGTAAACCTTTTAAGAGCATTTAAGATTGGTACCCTTAAAAAACTACAAATGTTGCTAAGTCATGTCAGAACTGACTCAAACAACCCTATTTCCTTCTAAAGTTATCTAATCCTGTTCCATGAATCAATATTAAATATCTTGAGATTGGAATATTGGCAGAGATGTAGCAAAGCAATCAGAAAGTCTGAGAAAGTGAATACTCATTTTCCAAATCTCTGAATGATGGCTAGAAATATTTCAAGAGCATCATATGTTTCTTTTTGAGTAAACAAATATAGTTTGTTCAAAGCTAAGAAGAGGAGAAAAGATGTTTCAAATGCTAAGAAAGTGTCAAGGAATCCACAGCCATAGGACCATCCACAGAACACTGAAACGGATGCTGCAGGCCAGTCTCACCTCCAGAGGCTCTCTTGGCCCAGCAAATTGCCAGAACCATCGAAAATGCTTATCAAAGTCAATATAATACTCCTTATTGTTAGTCAATTAAAAAAACAACATTTTATTCTTTTAATCAGGCTTGAGTTTAATCAAACATGTCTCAAACACGTTTTTTTTCCCCATATCAGAGACCTAATATGCCACTATTGAAGTCAGGAAATAAAAATTTCAAAATAAATAAATAACTGCAGATGACATCTGGCCCTGCAGTGAAAGAGTTAACATGCAACTAAGCTGATCTGCACTTCTGATCCATTACATTTCTCACAAGCTGCCCTACAATGAGCCGAGCAAGTATCAACTGTAATTTGATCCCAGAGTTTATAGAGAAAAATAACTGCACATACTCAACATGCACATTTAATAAAAATCTGTTTCAGGAGAAACATATCCAATAAACACAATTTAAGGCATTTTTAGCTGTTTGATTAACTTCAAATCTGCAATCCTTCTGCTTTCCTCATGCTCTCAAATTAAAATAGAGGGAGGGGAAAAAAAAGCCGCGGCCTTACTGCAGGGAAAAAGAGGCTTGAAAAACAACTTTGATTGGCACTTGGCCTGACCCACAGAGGAAGAAAAACAGTTTTTTGACAAAGAGCGCAAATATTTGAGCTTGCTTGCTTACGAGCTTGTTTTCTTTCTTTCCCTTTTTAATGTATAAAGAACAATCCTGAAGAGAACCCTGCTCGAGAAATCAACTAAAACCGGTACAGTATTCATCTCAATCTTTCCGTCCCCCAGCGTTTGCACAGCTCAGCAATTTTAATTCATTGGAGCTGGACAAACAGAATCACCTCACCTGGTGCTTTCTCTCAGTGAAATGTGAAAATAAGAGCCTGGATTAGAAGAAACTGACAGAAGGACCCAGGGGCGGGCGGCTGTTAGAAGCTGATTAAAAACTCTTCTGGGTCTAAAGAGGCATTTTTTTTTTCACTCCCTCCTTTCCTGCCCCCGCGCAGTCCCCCTCCTTATCCCCCCTAGAGATTAAGACAAGTAAGCTAAGCAATCCTAAACTTTGCATCCGTCAAGCTGGGAAGCAATAAACTGAGGTGCCTGGTCGAGCACGGGGTACAAGGGCATAGCATGGATAAGGAGGAGGAATAATCAACCCCAAGTCCCCCCTCCCCAAGTCTCCCAGCCGAGGAACCGAACTGTTGAGATTGAAAAGCATTTCCCATGGGCATTAAGTCAAGATGCTTCACCCTCAGTTGTTCTCACCAGTGAACTACGGAATCGCTCCAGTATCTAAAGGGGATGCTGGGCAAGGGCAAAAGCAATGCAAGCAACAAAACACCACCCCCAAGAGTTAGCCAGTGCCAAGAGGGAGCCGGGTTCCTGTACACCAGCTCAGGCTGCTCTGATTTCACACCTACCTCCAGGGACAGCCAAACGGCGCACCGGGAGGAGAATCGACGGGTGCCTCCCTCCTCCCCGCGCGTCCCGGGAGCGCACAGGGGAAGCAAGGCGGGGAGGCGGGTTGGAAAGCGGACCGCGAAAAAGAGAGGACGGAGGCAGCCCCCTCGGGACTGGCTTCCGTCCCAGCGGAGATGAAAAGCAGCAGCAGCCCGAAACCCACGCCCCCTTCTGGGTCTCCGCAGGCCAGGACCGGGCTCGGGCAGCCCCCCGCAGCCTCGCCCCGCGGCGCGCTCCCTGGGGCTCCAGCGGCGCGAGCCCGGGCCGGCCGGCGAGCGCCCCTCTCGGGGCGGACCCCAGGCCCAGCCCGTACCTTCCGCAGCACTTTCCGGCAGTTGGTACAGAGCAGGTAGTTGGCGGCGGCCGACGGGCTGCCGCCGCCCCGGTTCATGGTGGCGGCCGGCGTCCGAGGCTGGGGTGACGGAGGGCGACGGGTCGGCTGCGCTGTCACCGCCGTCGGCCGCGCCGCTGCGGGCCCCGGAGCGCGTCTTCCCGTCGTCGCCGTCGCCTCAGCCGGCTCCCGGCGGGAGGTCGGAATGGAACCGGCGACGGCGCGAGCGAGCGAGCCGCGACCCCTGCGGCGGCTGCCCGGAGGCCGGCGGACACGGCGGCGGCTGCCCCTCACCGGCCCGTTGTTCCGCCCGCCCCCATCCTCCAGACCCCCGCCCCCGCCAGGCTCGGACGAGCAGCCGCCGCCGCCGCCGCCGCCGCCGCCGCAGCGCTCGGTCAGCCCCGCCCCCGCCGCCCCACCACCTTCACCACCTCCACACGCAGGCCCCGCCCCTCCCGCCCGGCGGACCGCTCCGGCCACGCCCCCCGGGCCGCCAGCGCGCAGCCAATGAGCTTCTAGAGCCCGGTTGGGAGCCGCGCCGACCAATCGCGAGGGCCGAGGATGCCTTGAATCTCCGGGCAAGTTAAGTTTATCTCCGAGGCTCGGAACCCTAGGGGAGCTGGCGGGTGAGTTAGGAAGCCGGGTGGGCGGGACTACAGCCTACGCTACTCCGCCAATCGGAGCAAGGGGGTGTGTCGTATGCAGATGAACTGGACGGTGGTCACCGCCCCCACAGCAGGCCACTCCCCCTTCTCTGGGTCCCCCACCGGAGTGGAGAGGACAGTGAGATAAATAGCTGGGGGGCTAGGGCTCCTAGGGGGACCAGGGCTGACATCTCTAGAGAAGCGACGTGGCTGGGAAGGGAGCCACAGCACTGTTATTTCCACCCCGGCTTTCTCTCAGCCAAAATCCAAGCTTAGCTGTCAAGACTGCCAGGGGGTTGGGGGGTTGTGCTTTGCCTTCGAGATCTCCGCAGAACTTGAGGCATCGTTTGAGTGTGAGCTTTGTGCACAAGCCCAGTTACCTGAGATCTGGGAGTGAAGGGAACCTAGTGCAAATCTCAGGTGTTTTTTATCATGCGGTTCAATGGGTGCTTGTGGTGGGGTGGGGTGGGGGGGAGATGACACGAAATCTCCCTCTGAAGCCCTTTCTCGCCTCCCTCCAAGCCATGCAAGTTCCTTGGTTTGTCCACCACGAAAGGGCCAAAGGGCAGCGAGTTTTGTCTTGTCACCTCTCCCTTCCCCGTGCCCCCAAACGTCCCTCCAGCTGGTCAGAGCCCTGCAAAGCAAGTCAGGCTCCGAGAACAAACTGCCATTTCAAACCCTCGCTCTCTGCCTCTTCCCCAGAGCTAAAACATGGTGCGTCAGGGGCTCAGCGTCGCGTTCCGGGGCGCAGAGGCTGTGTCACTGCGGGGCGGCCGGGTCGGAGGCGGCTGGGCGACGCGGAAAGCTGCTCCCCAGCGAGAACAAAGGCTGGCGCGGAGCGAGGAGCTGACTGGCGCCGCGTCCTGGCCGCCGGTGTCCTCGGGGCCCGTGGACACCTGGGCCGCAGCGCCGCAGCCCGACCGTGCGATGACATCACCTGTTTTCGCGTTCGAGAACCCGATCGAGTGTTCCGGGCTGCTTCTCTCAGAGTCTCCAGAGGGCCAGGGCTGCAGTCTGCGGGACGCAGTTGGTGGAGATGATTTTAAAGAAGGGCCCCTCCGGTTTTCATTTCTTTTCTTTGGCAGCTGAAATTTCCACCTTTTTTTTTTTTTAAGGGATTCAGGACTGTGATACAAGATCAAGAAGGAAGGTGTGAAAATCACCAGTCTTCTCACTGTCTCCTCGCTGTGCCGTTCAGAGACCAACACACACAAACCAAGTCTACACAAGGAACAAAAGAAAGATGAGCCGATGTGGGCTCAATGTAGATTCATGCGATCTATAAAACCCCTCAAAAACGGTTAAGTGAAGCAGCTGGGACAACGCGTTGATCCATTTTGCTAGTGACAGATAAAGGTCACCAAATGTTGTGTAGACAACAAACATGTAAGCAGTTGCTTCAGAAAGTTCGTGGAAATTCGTATCATGAAGAAATTTGTGAGCTTCAGAAATGTGTTTTGCACTAAAATTACTTCCAATGAATTCAATTTTCTGGGAACTTTTAGAAGTCTTTTTAAAATCTGGATTAGCAGTGGCATGGGCTCTACTCCTAATAATTAAGTTAAAAGCTTTTAAAAAGTGAGACAGTTGTATTAAAAGAGGAAATTACCACATGCCCTTCAGTGCAGAGAACCAAGAAATCCAGGGGAAAGCTCAGCAGAGCAGATCTTCTAAGAACTGAAACATATGTGTCCCCATTTCGTAGTAAAATTCTTAGGCTATATTCTTGGCAGGTTCTGTCTTTTAAACCACATTTTATGTTAGTATGTTTATAGGAAAGGAGAAACTGAAGTATTAAATATGCTGAGTTTTTCTCAAGTAATACCTAAGCTTCAATTTGAGTACCATTCTTTCTATCTACCCTGCAAGATTTCTAGTTATATATTTGAAAGTCATAGGTGTAGAGAGAGGCAGAGAGAGAGAGAGAGAGAGGTGTGGGTTCCATCTGCTGATTCACTCAGCTGGCTGCACGGGTCAGAGCAGGATCAGGTGGAAGCCAGGAGTTGGGATTCTGGCACATGGGTGCCAAGACCAGAGCACTTGAACCATCCTCAGCTGCTTTCCCAGGTACTCTTGCAGGGAGCTGATTTGAAAGTGGAGCAGCTGGAACTCCAACCAGCACTGATATGGGATCTGTGTTGCAGATGGCTTTCATACACTCTGACAAAATGCTGGCCCCAAGTAGGATTCTTATAACCTTTGCCATTTAAAAAAAGCTAATAGTTACAATCTTTTTGTAATGAGTCTCTTCACAATGAGTAAATCTCAAAGCAAGGCTGTTTAGGAATCCAGCCCTGTCCAAGGGAACAAAGTTTGAAAATCTTCCGTGATAACAGATCAGATCCATAATGGCTGTCTCCATCAATCTCTCCTATATCTTTTACCATTTATTGTCGGTGATGTCACTTACTTGGCAGTTAATCACATACTCTACTGTAGCATTTCTTACACTGAACCATTATTTATGTGTCTGTGTTTCACCCCTGAACTACTCAGTGATGGAAACTCATTCTAAATACCGATAACCACTCTTTCTTTCTGGTCCTCACACCCTCACTCATAGCATGCTGTCCTGTCTCATAGTAATGTATGTCCAGCTTCTTGGAACCTCCTTTCTCTCAACTTATCACCTGGCCTTCCTTCATTTGCTAGCCAGCCTGGATAACATAAAGCAAATATGATTAAAAGGATAGGTCACTTGTTCATCCAGCATCACACTGATGCTTGATAGATATTTGTGATTTCAATGATTTTTTTAAACACTACTGCTGCAAGGTAGTGAGACTGCACTTGTGTCTATCCATCACCCATTCCTTCTCTGACTTTGAACATACTAATTATTACAGTTAGGGACTTGCTGCTTTCTCTTCCTCCTCTTCCTTTTTCTCCTTCCCTCCTTCCTTTCTTTCCTTCTTCCTTCTCTCTCTCTCTCTCTCTCTTCCTTTTTAAAATTGCTTCAGGTTTATAAATGAGTGATCTTGTCATAAACCAAGGATGTGGGGAGAACTAAGGAAAAAGTTTTGTGTTCAGCACTTCTGATAGAAGGAACCTGTTAACATGCTGTCACTTTGAGGCTTGATGCTGTTTACTTCCCTAGAGATTCTCATTCTAATGACCTAAGAACTGGGCCTTTTTATAGTTCCAAAAAAAGGATTCAATGGGAGGGGGGGACACAATTACTAAAGATATTTTAAAGCTCGCATCGCTTGAGACAATAGAGCACATTCTAACATTTCGCCATTTGAGACATGTTTTTTTCTTTCTCTTGACACCAGCGCATTTGGATTGCAGAGAGAGCTGCATTATTTACAAACTTGCAAATACTGTAATTTGCTTCTTGCACAAAGGAATTTACACTTCACACAATTGTAAATTGATTGCTCTCTTAGACTGTTAATTAGATTCCTGCTATTTTCCCAATGGCCCAAGACCAATACTACTCCAAAGCAGAAATAAGAAAATCTGACCCAAAAAAAAAGCGACTGCTGTAGCTTTCATTCTCCATCCTCACCCACTTCCCCCTCACCTCCCAGCTCCACTGAGAAAATTCTACCAAGATTCAGAGTCCTTCATCTTTCTCTTTTAACTCGAAGCTGGAGTTCTGCAGATCATTCTTCCAGCAAGCAGTGCATTGATAAAACGCCTTACAGATGTGGAGCCGTTGGTTGTTTGGGCCTGTACAATGTTAGCCCATGGAGTGATTTAAAAGAAAACCACATTACTTTCAAATATTTGTAATTTAGGAGACCTTTTTTGGTAACAACAAAAATCTAAGTTTTCAGCTTCTTTTGAAATGTGTCATATGTGGTCACAATGGGCTTATATTCCTACATGGCAATCATCTGTTAAGCTCACTGCTTACTGTTCAGTCTGAACATACACTGCCTAGTTCACTATGGAGCCTGACATCCCCAATATTGCTTGTCTTTTTTGTTTGTTAATTATTGTTGAGAGGTGAGAGAGAGAGAGAGAGAGAGAGAGAGAGAGAGAGAGAGAGATCCCATCTTCTGATGACTCCCCAGATGCTGACAAGCTCTGGGGCTGTACCGGGATTGAAGCCAGGGACTAAAACTCCGTTACTGTTAGGCTAAACACCTGCCCCCTGTGGGTGTTATGTTTTTTGCTACTTTATTAACATTCTATTCTTGACTCTTGTAGGGATTAGAGTTTGCCACTTCTGTCGCCTCTCGGCCTTTTGGCTAAGATCAAGTGAATTTGCCACTTCTAGAAGTACACACTTTCTGTAGCCTCTAAATTATTGATTGATCTAATTGTCACTTTTAACTTTATCATAGAATATGAATTAAAAATAAATTTTTTGTCTCTTGATTATAATAAAAAGTGAAGGAAGGCATCAGCTCCAAAGAATATATAGGATATGTGATTATATCAGGTAAATAGATAGTGGAATATACTTATATATATACACACACATATATATGCATGCTTTTATGCTAATAACTGCACTCCTGGTGCTAATTCTTCCCATCTATGCATTTTAGCTGTAGTTTCATGAGAAAGGAGTCATAAGGAATATAGCTAGAGTGGAAAACTAATAAAGCCATGCCAGATGTACTGAGAATGGTTTCTTTGATAGGCAATATCACGTAGAGGCTAGGAATCCTGCTCTTAGCAGAGTTACATATGAATCTAAACTTGA